AAGATGATTATTTAGGGGTTATCAAGTCCGCTTTAACCTGTAGTTTCCTTATAAGAGGACCATGCTATTTAAATATAGTTTTCAATGGCAGCGTTGGTCACTATTTAAAAAATCCCTCGTAAGGTGAAATAGTAAAAAAAAACAACGAAATTAACTATTCAAATGTTTCTGGGTCGCGTTGGATTCTATTTAATAAAAAAAACACCATTTTAAATTAATTTAAACAAATATTCGTAGTCTATCAAGTTAAATAGTTCATATATATTTTTATTTCACCACCCACAGACGTCACGTTATTACCTACGGCCGTGTAAACTTATCTCAGTAAAACGTTTTTAAGATACCGAATACCCAAGTGCAAAAATTTAGTCCGAGCTACCCGCGGCGATGGTCTGCCATGGCTTGCCACTAGCCTCACTAGACTAGAGATAATCTCGCCCGATCGTCTTCCCTCTCGGAACCCTTCGGACGAACTGACTCATGAAGCATGGGCCACACCGGTGTCCGATGAACCAGGGGCCGCCCACTGGAGCAGCCTTGGACTATACTCCGATTTAAATAGAGTGACTTTGACAGTTCGTCGCCTATAACGCGGGTACCCATCGGAAGCTTCAGTGCCATAAATGTAAGACGCACTGATGCTCCCGATTGCATAACCCGTCCAGCTGCCTATCTGTTAGAACTAATGCTGGCCTATACTGAGATTTAAATAGAGTGACTTCCGTGAGATCATGAGCTCTAATGCGGTTACCCGTCGGGAGCTCCAGTATCAAAAATTTAAGTCGTACTGATTCTCCCGATTGGAAAACGGCGTACAGCTGTCGTAAATCATTGCATTTATATCGTAGAATGGCATTAACCTTGCAACCCGTCCGCCTTCGCGAGCGCTGGTGCGGCGCGGGGACGTCGGCTGCCGGGCTCAGCCCTGTGCGGACGCAGCGCGCGGCGCGCGTGCGAGGTCTCGACTCGCCCCGGCGGCCCTCGCTTTGCATAACTACAACGTTTAATTACGCTATTAACGGTCACGCAATGCGTTGTCGCACGGCAGCAGAGCTTTTTGCACAAAAGACGTCAAGCAGGAATAGAAACGGCCGCCTCATCCGTTTGCTAAGACAGCTTTCGCCAGGCTTCGACGACGACGACGCGAGGAAATCGTTTCATTCCGCCTCAGAAGCCTGCTCGCCACGCGACATGTCGCGTTTCCGAGGAACGCCTCTCCGTGGGAGGAGAGAGCTGTTGCAATTGCAAAATCATTATTTCTCGGTTCTCTGAACTAGCAATTTTCACCAATGTGCACAAGAATATTGATTTTCACGATTCTTAACTCTCTGTCTTTTACTATATCTTCTTTGCCGTACTCATTTGAAATCTAACATATGAATTCATTACTTGTCCTTCTCGTAACTCTTCAAATGAAATCAAAATGAAATTCAACTTACTCCTCTAAAATATATAACCATGGAATCTTGGAGCAATACTGGCCAATCCCTTAATTAGTTGCTAAGAAATTGAAGTGTATACTCTTGTGAACAAATTGCGTCGCATCGGAATTGATTCCAGGGATGGAATGGACTTTCACGCAAGACCGATAAGACGCTTTTGAATATCTTGATATGCGACATGATATGCGAACGTGATAAGATGTGTGTGGAGATATTAAAACAGGATTATCCTGCATGTTTCATCGATGAGTCACACACTTAGAATAGTATTCTTACGCTTGCCTTAGGATATTTTTCTCCGCGTTTTCGGGCAGATTGTCGTACAGAAAAGGAAAATAAAAGATCGCCAAATACGTCGTGGATAACGTCGTATAGAAGGCTAGCGTCGTGTTCATGCATATTATACGGTTTCTGTAAGAGTTCCAAGACGCCACAAAGTGCTCTGCTGTCACCCAAAATAATTGCGCTGATCTGAACAAAAGATTTAAACTTAAAGTAATAGTATCAAACTTAAGACCAATATTCAACATTTAAAGCAGGATTTAAATTCCTAGAAGGAGCAACGTGCCTAATATCAAAATGCTTGTTTTCATCCAAAACAACTCTTGTAACTAGCTCTCTGATTTGTAAAGATATTTTTGTATTTGTAAAAACGTTTTGTTGCAATTTTCTACTTGATTCTGGTTAGGATCCCACTTAACCGGGTTATGCCCATTTGCAGTTCAAATAAATTTATCTTCAAGAGAAAACAGGCACGTATAAACTCAGAAGCGCCACGTAAACAAATTCGTTGGTGAACGGTGTTGACGCTAGGAACACAACTGTACACGCAACTTTTCAATGTGGGGGGAAAATTCAAATGAACAAAGGTTTTCAGACGTGGTCATACTGATCTATAAACACTTTATTTAAGTACGAAAGTAGCAGCGTATTAATCGATCTTTAGTGTTAATTTGAATGTGTGTACATTTAAAAAATACTCATTATTTAGAATGTGTGTACATCTTTCGCACATTATTTAATATTTCAGAGAATTTACTTATTAGGATTTTATTTACACAAAATTGAAGCATATGGAATACATTATTGCAAATTCAATTCTAATTCTGTTACATTAAAATGTGTTGTGGATTGGCTGATTATAAACTTTGTTTGTATTTTGCTTTGTACGATTAACGTACGGTATTAGCAACGGGAGGAAATTTTATTAAGTTCCAAGGGCACTTGGGGATCCTCCTAATCCGCGGCTGCCCAGGGCATCCGTCAGTGAGGGGGCCCATCGATCTTCGCCTCTGCGCTGAGCCGTTGCCACCCGGGTCAGCAGGTCCAGGGCGCAGCACAGAAACTGATGGTATCTTTCCACCATCGCGACAGCCAGGCATTTAACAGCGGCGGCGGGTCACCGGTCACCACTTGCCCCGTTGCACGTGGCGACACGCCGGCGCCGCGTCCCGTCCCCTGGCCTGGACTTTATAGACCTAGGCCAGTCACTTTTTACAAAAGTGACGCTAATCCAGGAAAAGTAATCTCGATCATTCTGTATGGTTTTGTGGGTGTCGAACCTCAAGGTGACTTTTGCCTCATCGTGAAGCTTTTGCGGTTGAGAAAATTGCAGAAATGCGTAAAGAATGCTTTTTATAGTATTTCACTTCAACCGTGCCTTTGCGGTTCGTCTCACAAAAAGTACTTCAGGCCTATAATTGAAGACAAATTTAACATAATTGTTTGTACAAGAACATCTTCCTCTAAAAGTTCGTAGTTTCTCGGTTGTACGCGGAAAATTGTAAAATGAGATCTTTTTAGTATTCTCAGAACACACAATATTTACGTGGAGGTAAATTTGAAATCCCAATTCAACACCGCGATCTAATGACGAATGCTAGGGAAAATAACTTCATTATTTTTTCCGCAAAACAAACATTGAACTGGACTATGGCGATAACATATGGCGATAATTTGCAATTCGAAACTGCGCAAAAGAGTTTCAGGAATTGTAAGCACATATAAAGAAATTTTAGAGAGGACACATCCAATATATCGATATCGTACCTAGAAAGGACACTGCCACTTGGAAAAAAGATTTAAAAAAATATTCGTCTCCATCTAAGCTTCGGCTCTTCATGTTTTAACTTATTTATGCACTTTCTTGTCAACCATAATATTTTTTTCAGAACTTTGCATGTATGAATTCTTAATTAAAGTTTGGGCCTGTGCCAACCGGGGTGCATTTAATACCAAACGACCGCTAATTTCTTGTATGTATGATTTTATTAATTTCTATATACTACTATTTCACTGTTTATAGAGCAGTAGATTTTAATATCAAGAAAAATTCTCGAGTTTTATTTGCGTGCCGTATCAATTATATTGGGCAACAACATTTTCTGGGTCTCTTGAATTAATTTTACTGCATTTTCAGGTGCGATCTAGCATGGGAATTTTGTCCCAATTCTACCTACCCCCGCACCCCAAGTCACCCGAATTTTTCCCCGATACCCGTCTCCTGCAATTATTCAGGTTCTCCATTCGCAATTCGTGTGGCTCTGTTTGGGGACGTCAGGCCGACTCCCCTGCGCGGCGCCGCGTCGGAGCGTGACGTCGTCGTTTATGGCGGGCGCGCGGAGCTAGCGCCGTGGAACGGAATGCGGGGCCAGGTGGCGGCTCGGGGCCGCAATTATGCGACGCGATCCCTCATTGTGCTCGCTCTTATCTGTTTGCGAGCCGCGCATCGCCAAGCTGATGGCCGCTCGGGTTGTAATACAACCCCCGCGGAAAGAGAGCGAGTGACAGGAAGGCGAGGGAAGGAGGGGAGTGGGATTGAAGACTGGGGAGAAAGGAAAGGCACTTCTCTGGGTAGTGAGTGATGCAATGAATAGTAGAATCTGTGCTGATTGCCGACCAAAGGAGTACGGATAAATTAGGGACGGTCTCCAATTTATAGCTCACTTATTTGTTGGTTGCGGGTCGAAATTAAAATTTACTCAACTGAAGAGTAAGGAAGAAAATAGTGAACAAGCAATGTGAAAGGTGGTGGGTACTCGTTACAAGTGGAGAATGGTATTGTACCTTTACCCTCCCGAATTTTAAGTTATTTCCGTAATAAATCTTCTGCAAATGTTCGGTTAAAGTTACACAATAAGTCAAAGGTACATTTTATCTGCAATTTATTATTGTTATAATTCAATCGAATTGAATGTTTTTTTCTGGTTATTAGTTTTTTTATCCTCATAGTTTTCACTTTGGTATTGTGTTTAATGCTGAAATATCATGTGATGTAGTTTAACATCAGAGCGATTATATTCGATTTCTTATTTTAAAAAACTCATCCAATCATCTGTACGCTCCAATCACGAGACTGTGTATGACATATAGATGTAATGTAAAATTCTACATGTAAAATTAATACGTCGAAAGACGGTAACAGGCAAACACCGACATCCACCGTGACACACGTCGAACATTTTTTTCCCTCCACGAGTGTGCATTTGCATGGGCTGAACGCTTATCTGTCCGGGCCGTGGACGCGCAGGTTCCTTATCTCCTTCCGCTCTGTTGCAGGGGCGGCCGCCGCCGTCGCCGCGGAGGAGCCGCAGTCGCGCCGCAAACCGGCCGCCGCACCAACGAGGACCCGGGCGGGGGGCGCACCGCCCCGGCGCCCGCGCCCGCCCCCCGCCCCCACGCCCCCGGCCTCGGCCCCGCCCCGGCCCAGCCCCAGCCCCGCCTCCGACGCGGATCTCAACCACAAGTACCTGCACAAAAAGTTCAGAAGATGGCGTCGGCCAGCGTCGACGAGGCTGCGATGCCGGCCGCGCGCCGTCGCCGCCCGCCGCCGCCGACCCGCCGCCGGCGCCCGCCCCCGTCGTCGCGGGGGTGGACGCCGACGCCGCCCCCGGGTCGCCGCTCGTCGCGGCGGCCGGCGGACCGCGCTCGTCAACGGCGGCGAGGCGGCGGCCGGCGACGACGGGCGCGTCGGGCGGCGGCAGCGGGAAGTACGTGTGTCCGTACTGCGCCTGGCGTGCGCCAAGCCCAGCGTGCTCCAGAAGCACGTGCGCGCCCACACCAACGAGCGGCCTACCCGTGCGAAGCAGTGCGGCTTGCCTCAAGACGCGCTCCAACTGTACAAGCACCGGCGCTCGCGGGCGCACACGCTGCGCTCCATGGGCCGAGGCGGGGGCGGGGGCGGCGGCACGCCCGGCGGCACCCCGTCGGCACGCCGTCCCGGCACGCGTCGGGCTCCCCCGACCGACAGCCCCGACGAGGACGCCGGCTGCTCGCCGCCCGCCGCCGCCGCGCCGTCGCCCGCGTCGCTCCCCGGCGCCCGCCACGCCCCGCCCCTGCCCCGCCCCGCCGTGTACGCGCCGGCGCGCCGCTGCGTCGTGGCCGCTGCTTTGGCGCGGCGCCCGCCAACGGCGCCAAACAAGATCTACAAGCCCCAAGTTCACCAGGCGGCTCTCTACAGGGCGAGGCAGAGGAGGAGGCGCTGGCGGCGGCGGCTGTGCCCGCCGCCCCGTCGCCCGCGCACTCGCAAGGGTGAGTACCATAGCATCTTCTTCGCGCACTGTTAAAAGCCACCAGAATAATAATATAACGGAATAAACGTCCGTGTGGTACAATTTCTCGCTGTAGAATTCGTTGACCACCTTATCTTGGAGCTGATGGATTGCTACCTTAATTCTTTAATTGAATTTAGTTTTTAAATAAATCCAAGATATTTTTTAAAAAGGTAATAATTAATAAATTATTTTTGTAATATTTTCCATTTTGTCAAGATCTTATCCATTTATTCGTATTTAATACGGTTTGGATAGTGAAGTCAATACATATATATGCCTTCCATCTAGTGAAATATGTGAAAAAAATGTTAAAATCTAGGGGGCGCCAAATCTTGGAAAACAACAAGAACAGATTCTTGTAAAAAAAAAAAAGGTGCACTACTTTGTGTAACATCTTCACATTTTGGAGATCTATCCCTACAGAGATATTTAGAGCTTTTTTTTTTAATTTTAAAAACAAAAAATTTAATGTCGTAGGCTTCCGCGTCCAGAGTCTTGATCTGGACTGTCCGAATGACGCCGCGTCGAAGGCCGAGGTGCTGACGTTTTGACCAACATATCACGGTCTTCATTAGGGTTGTAGTGTTATATGTTGGTCGAAACGCATTTCAGCTTCAAACGCGGCGCCACCCGGACAGCCCAGATCACTGCATAAAATTGTTTATAATATCATTTTTATTAGTTCGCACGATGTGAAATTTATCCTTCACTTTTTTTCAACGCGTTTACGTTGTAAATGCATTTATCACTATATCTTGCAATGTCATCACTAGAGGACGAATTTTGATGATCTAAAATATTGACAAAAATGATCAGTAAATAGCTCTTAAAAAGTTTTAATAATACCCTAGAAACAGAGAAAAATGACGTAAAAATTGGATCAAAAGCACTTTAGATCCACAAACAACTCAAGATTTTGGATATGCTACCGATGTAATCGAGGCTTCTTCCCTTTGCTCAAGTGAACTGAGCGTGTAAACGTTAGGTTTAGACTATGGTTTACAAGAAAATCTCTGCCTTTATTTACCACGAAGTCTGCCGAACTGACAATGGCGCCGATAGGCGTCACAGGAACCTTAGTTTATCTAGTTTCACAACGGCTGACATTACAATATATGAGCGCAGAAATGGAATAGGCTACCTAGGAATTCTGTGCTGAACATTTATTGCATCTCGTAAATAGTTTGAAACAAGTACCCTTAAAATGATATTAAAACCGATTAAATCAGAAAAATGCGTTTAAATTACATAAAAAAGTAAAAAAAATGACGTTTTAGTCAAAATCGACGAAAAATGTAAAAAAAGACCAAAATTTCCATTTGTTGTAAAATAAATGAAATCCTATACTAAACGGCGTTGTTCTAACATGAGAAGAAAAAAAACATTGCATTAAAATCCGTCCTCTAGTCATCATCCTGCATGACGTTTATTTGTTTCCCTACCTGTCAAAGTGGTTCTTTCTTAGAGGAACTGCTCTATAGATAAGGGCGACCCTCGCCCGAACCCAAGTGGAAATCCGCCCCGCCCGCCTGCCACGTGTGCCGTGTCGCCATCCCCTCCGCCCACCGCCTCTGACCCTGCGTCCCGCGGCGATTTTTCCTCGGACGCTTCGCGGAATGGCGCGGTCGTCGCCGCGTCAGCGCTCGCCGGCGTCGTCGGCCGCGGGACGCGGTTTCCGCGGACGCGGGCTTTCCCACGCGCCGACCGCCGCCGCCGCCGCCGCCACGCACGCGCGTAACGCATCGCGTCGCCGCGCCGGGGGCTTCCGCCTGCACGGCTGCGAAAGCACTCGTTTAGTCTTGAGCGCAGAAAAAAAACAAAAAAAAAAAAAAGGGTGGCATCGCTCTCAACCACGCTCATGTTCAACCCTATCCTTGTTCAATTCAATCGAATTCAATTCAATTAAATCTAATTGAATTCCGAATCCGGTCTCGTCATTAACTGGTAACATCATTAGTTAGAATCTTCATTCTAAGAGGATCAATCCTGAAGACTGACTTCATGACCTGGCACTTGTTGTGCGAGGTGGATGCTGATCTATTGCGGTCTCAGTTGCCGCCGCCGCCGCTGCTCCTAGGTGTCAGCATCAGCTCAATCTCAGATGAGGCGCTGATTATTTTGCCGTGACTAATTTTATCGAGGATATAAAAATGATATTCTAGGGATTTTTAACGTAACACAATCGCGACTCGATGTGGCGTTGATTTTCGGCGCCGCCGCCGCCGAAGCCACGCACGCGCGTAGCGCACCGCGTCGCCCGGAGCTTCCACCAGCACGGCTGCGAAAGCACTCGTTTAGTCTTGAATGTTCTTCAGTCAAATGAGTGCTTGCCGAGCTCCCCGAACACAAAATTGTGGTTGCGCTCTCAACGACGCCACTGTTCAACTCTAGCCTCTTCTTTAAATTCAACTTCATTAAATTGAGTCTCTTCATTCAGTGGTAAAATCATTAGTTAGAATCTTCATTCCCTGAGAAACATCAGCACTTGCGCGAGGTGGATGCTGATCTCCGTTGCTGGTTTCAGTTGCCGCCGCCACCGCCGCTTTTCCTAGTTGCCCGCATCAGCTCAATCTCAGACGTGGCGCTGATCTTGCCGTGACTAATTTTATCGAGGATATAAAAATGATGTTCTAGGGATTTTTAACGTGTCACAATCGCGACTCGGTGTGGCGTAGATTAGAGGAGATCGCGGCGCACCCGGACAGCCCAGATCACTGTCATAACAATTGTTATACATACATTATTTATTAGTTCGCACGACATGTGAAATTTATCCTTCCTTTTTCACGCGTTTACGTAAATTGCTTTATCACTATATCTTGCAATGTCATCACTAGAGGAGCGAATTTTGATGATCTAAAGAATATTGACAAAAATGATCAGCTAAATAGCTTCTTAAAAGTTTTAATAATACCCTAAGAAACAGAGAAAAATGACGTAAAAATTGGATTCAAAAGCACTTTAGAGACCACAAAACCAACTGCTAGATTTTGGATATGCTACCCGGATGTAATCGGAGCTTCTTCCCTTTGCTCAAGTAACTGAGCGTGTAAACGTTTAGGTTTAGACTATGGTTTACAAGAAAATCTCTCCTTAATTTACCGACGAAAGTCGTCCGAACTGACAATGGCGCCTAGCGTCACAGGAACTAGTTTATCTAGTTTCACACGGCTGACATTCAATATAAATGAGCGCAGAAATGGAATAGGCTAGCCTAGGATTCTTGTGCTGAACAATTTATTGGCATCCGTAAATAAGTTTGAAACAAGTACCGCTAAACTGAATATTAAAACCGGATTAAATCAGAAAATGCGTTTAAAATTACATAAAAAAGTAAAAAAATGACTGTTTTAGTCAAATCGACGATAAAATGTAAAAAAGACAAAATTCCCATTTTGTTGTAAAATACATGAAATCCTAATATCTAAACGGCGTTGTTCTAAATGAGAAGAAAAAACACATTGGCATTTAAATCCGTCCCTAGTCATCATCCTGTGCATGAGTTATATTTGTTTCCTACCTGTCAAAGTGGTTCTTTTCTTAAGAGGAACTGCTCTATAGATAAGGGCGACCCTCGCCGAACCAAGTGGAAACCGCCCGCCCGCCTGCCACGTGTGCCGTGTCGCCAATCCCCTTCGCCCACCGCCTCTGACCCTGCTCCCGCGGCGATTTTTCTCCGGACGCGTCGCGGAATGGCGCGGTCGTCGCCGCGTGCAGCGCTCGCCGGCGTCGTCGGCCCGCGGACGCGTTTCCGCGGACGCGGGCTTTCCCACGCGCCGACGCGCACGGCCGCCGCCCCGCCACGCACGCGGCGTAAAGCGCATGCGCGTCGCCGCGCCGGGGGCTTCCGCCTGCACGGTCGCGAAAGACTCGTTTAGTCTTGAGGCAAAAAAAAACAAAAAAAAAAGGGGTGGCTCGCTCTCAACAGACGAAATGTTTCAAATCTGCACCTTGTTCTTTCAAGTAATTCAATTCAATTAAATTAATTGAATTCCGAAATCCGGTCTCGTCCATTAACTGGTAAACATCAATAGTTAGAATCTTCATCATTCTTGAGAAACCGAAATCCAAGCTGCACTTGCTGCGAGGTGGATGCTGAATCTCGTTGCTGGTCTCACAGTTTGCCGCGCGCCGGCCTGCTTGCTTCTTCGCTAGTTGCCGCATCAGCTCAATCTCAGAGAGGCGCTGATTTTGCCGTGACTAATTTTATCGAGGATAAAAAATGATATTCTAGGGATTGTTAACGTAACACAAATCGGAGCTCCTGTGTGGGTGATTTTCGGCGCCGCCGCCAAGCCACGCAACAGCGCATGTAGCGCAACCGCGATCTGCCCGGAGCTTCCACGCAGCACGGCTGCGAAAGCACTCGTTTTAGTCTTGAATGTTCTTCATCAAATAGTGCTTTGCCGAGCTCCCCGAAACTACAAAAATTGTGGTTGCGCTCTCACGACGCCACTGTTCAATCTCTAAGCCTCTCTTTAATTCAACTTCATTAAATTGAGTCGTCTTCCATTCAGTGGTTAAAATCATTAGTTATGGAATCTCATTCCCTGAGAAACATCAGCACTTTGCGCGAGTGGATGCTGATCTCCGTTGCTGTTTAAGTTGCTGCCGCCCACCGCCC